TTTTAACTGCTGTGACTGCTGCCCGCCTGCCGCGGGGCCCTGGGGGCAGCCAGGGGAGCAGGGACCCCCAGGTATGGTGATGCCTGTCTCGCTGCTCTCAGCTGAAGCACATAAACCGTATGAAGGAATCTCCTGCTTTTCCTTCAAGAAATGAGTCGGCAAGACTTGCGCAGCAAATGCCGAACGTGATTGTACTTTGTGTAAAGCCAGAGCAAAAATAGTGCATACTAGCCACATCCCAGAAGTTATAAAACACCAATATGAGTGGGAAAGCCCCAAAAAGGAGCTTCCTCCCCATGGCAGAGACTTTGGGGACCACACTGGCGTGGGAGCACGTGCAGAGTTGGCCCCATACCGTGTTGCTGCTCTTTGATTCTCTGTCCCTGTGTCTGAGCCCCTGGGAGTCACAGTTTTATTTTCACATTCACTTCAACCATGGTTTTACAACCCCCAAAACTACCTGCAAACAGTTTTGTATCTTTGCTGAAGGTTTATGATAAAAGCCTCTTTCTCTTGTTTTTTTTTTTTTTTTTTTTCTTTTTTTTTCCCCCTTGGAAAAAAGGAAGTTAAATACAAAAATAATTTTGGCTTCAAATATTAAAATAAATACTTGCTCTCACAAGAGGCAGCTCTGTATAGAGCACTCAAATATTTTATAAGACATACTTTGTCTCTTTTTTCTACTGCTAAAATACCTATCTATAGAGCACCTAATTCTAACACTGCTATAATGAATAGTGCATTAGTCTGCAAATGTTCACTTTAATAGCACTAATATTGGAGATAGAAACTATTACTCTGAGGAAAGGTGGTAAAGGCATGAAATAATTTTCTTTTAATACAAGGTACTCGAGGGATTTTCACTTCCCGTAGCGCGGGAGGGATTGGCTAATGGAAATTGTAGTGGCTGCAGAGGGAGTTTGCACTCGTACGTCTCTTGTGTGTTGATGGAAAAGTCCTCGTGTCAAATGGGTTGTGTTGTGATGGCTGAGGCTGCCATAGTCTGCTCCCAGGCGTGCACCGGGAGTCTCTAGATTCCCAAGTGGATGAAAAAGTAAAGAAAAAAGATTGAAGCCAGCTTGCTTGCCTTTCAACCCATCCTTTATGCAGCATGGAGCTGTCTGCCAGGTTCCACTTTTATATTTGCAGACTTAATTCTTTTAAGGAGAGAGGCAATTACGAAGCTATGGGAGCTCCTTAGATGCGCTCAAATATTAAAGACAGATTACTTCTGATGTTTTATGAATGTTTGAGCTCCTGTGGCTCTGAGGCAGCTGAAAGTTGGTTTTAAAAAATCTTTAACTACAGGCAAGAGTGAAATGCAAAACGGTAAGATTGAGGGATTGCGGTAGTTGGAAGGTAAAGGTTGGGGAGCTGCGTGCCTGACCGGGGAAGCTGCAAGCATGCACCCCACTAATCTCAGCAGGAGCCGTGCGGCGTTGCCCCTACCACCCCTCGCCTTTCGCCCCACTGGAGGGTTTCAGCTACAGCGTCCGCAAGGGGTAAGGGAGCTGGGCTCAGGCCAAATCTGTCTGTGGCACGTTTTCTTTGCATTGGTTGTATGATGTCAGATAAAATAGCCAGCTCATCTCAGGATGATGGAAACAAGAGTTTGCCTTACGTGCATTCCTCAATGCCACGTTGGTTAGCTATTATTGCAAATTTTCTTCATAAAGTTAAACCTTTGAGTTACTAAGATAATTTTGTTGATGTGATTACGTTACAGGTCCCAAGGGGGAGAAGGGAGATGCTGGTATGCAAGGTCTGCCGGGAACCCCGGGTCCTCAAGGTCCAAAAGGTTCTAAAGGAGAAAGAGGTAAAGCAGACTAACTGCTCATTTTGAAAACAGATGCTGTTGTCCTTATCAAATACCACAAAATTATAGGAAAAAATATTTTTCAAAGGAAAGAGAGTGTGCTGATATGGATTGACACCTTGAGTGATTTAGTTGGCATTAGTGCAGGGACAGTAAGTCAGATGGTGGTAGTGTATGCACAGGCGGTGTAGGAACAGCTGCTTGTAAAGATCTCACTTGAAACTCCTTGTTCTTAATGGGAGTTTAAAAACTGATTTCAGTTTGCTTTGGATTAGGGAAATAAGTAGGAAAAAACACCATGGAAGCTACACACAGATGTAGAAGCTGCATTTCAATTTAAGTATCTCAGGCAAAACTATTTCAGCTAAGATGGAGAGCAATTATTATCCATCAGTAGTGAGCAAAAGGAAACCCTGCCCTTCATTTCAGGCTCGGAGCAGCTCTGTCCTGCTGCCACACACCACCGGTAACATCCTGCGGCTGCCTTTGGTCGCGGAGAAACACGCAGCAAAGCTGATAACGAGGGCAGCAGCTGCAGCGAGCTGCACACTTCAGTCAGTGCAGGCTCTTAGGCTTTGATTCACTTCTTGCTGCTGGACTTTTGGCAATCCTGGAGTGAGAAATGCAGAGCTGTCGTCTTCTCCATCTTACCATTAAACAGCAGCAACCGCCTCCCAAGGAGGCCCTGATTACAGTCAGAAATCCAACATTCAAGCGAGATGCAGTTGTCTGCGTGATGGCTTGGTGCTGTGAGATTCAGCCAAGGTTTCTGAAGGCGTTTCTTGAAAACACACGTTGGTCATGCCTGTTTTATTAATGAAGTGAGGGACACATGCAAAATGGTACCAGTCCCTTCTTTGTAATGATTGCTGTGCTGCAGACACCACCACCACCGGTATATTAATGGTGAAATGTCCTAGGAGGCAAAGGGGAGCAAGGCGAGCGAGGAGTAAGTGGAAACCCCGGTTATCCAGGCAAACCTGGCCTGCAAGGTACGTAACACAGGCTGGGAGATCCAGGGATATTGAGCTGACCTTTCCCTTTGCTGTTGGTGATGCCCCTCCGTCTCCAAAGCAATCCAATACTAATATTTTTAATCTTTTTTTTCCACCCCACTTTGCCCTTTTCCTAGGTGACGCTGGAATAAAAGGCAATAAAGGCAACTACGGCTTCCCTGGTTTGAAGGGACAAAAGGGGTCCAAAGGGGACACTTGTGAGAATGGGACCAAAGGAGACAAGGGAGATAAAGGGGATGCTGGGGACCTGGGAGCGGATGGAGAGCGGGGTGACAAAGGGGAAAAGGGAGACACAGGGGAGAAGGGGTACTGCGGGGAGCCGGGGGGAAGAGGTGCGAAGGGAGAAAGAGGGGAAGGGGGGACAAAGGGAGAAAAAGGGAGCAAAGGGGAGATGGGGGCTGAGGGTATTCAGGGGGTGGATGGAAAACAGGGAGAAAAGGGTGAGCAAGGAAGTAAGGGTGAGAAGGGGGACCTGGGACCTGCCGGCTTGATGGGACCTTCTGGGCCCAAGGGGGTTGCTGGCAGCAAGGGGGGCCGAGGGGCCCCGGGAAAGAAAGGCTCCCGTGGGGTGAAGGGTGCCCGAGGGGACACCGCAAAGCTCCTGCGATCAGCGTTCAGCGCCGGCTTGTCCAAGCCCTTCCCTCCACCCAACGTCCCCATTAGATTTGACAAGATCTTGTACAATGACCAAGAAGATTATAACCCTTCCACCGGGAAATTCAACTGCAGCGTGCCTGGGGCGTACGTCTTCGCCTACCACTTGACGGTGAGAGGGCGTCCAGCCCGCGTCAGCCTCGTCGCCCGCAGCAGGAAGGTGGCCAAAGCCCGTGAGACGCTCTACGGCCAGGAGATCGACCAGGCATCCTTCCTGACTGTCCTAAAGCTGAATGCGGGCGACCAGGTGTGGCTGGAGGTTGCGCGGGACTGGAACGGGGTCTACGTCAGTGCTGAGGATGACAGTGTCTTTACAGGGTTTCTTCTGTATCCAGATGTTTTTGAGATCCTGCTATAGATTTAAAGGGCAAAGATGTTGCTGAGAAACATGCCTTTCCCTCCACCTGTGAGAGGAGAAATGAGCATCAGTTTAGCATATTGGTTTAGTTGCTAGGTTTCGTGATCTTTTGACAAAAATATTTGTATTTGCAATATATAGATTAGTTTTAACTAGCAGCCTGAAGAAGTGGCACGTCCTTTGCTCAGGTGGGTGATGGCTGAGAGAAACCATTGTCCAAATGCCAGCAGGACCGGCACAGAGAGGGGATTTCACATCACAGACTTCACGTTTGTAATTAGCCTATTCAAATTATGTAGTGAAACTCATTGTCCGACTGCAATTGTAATCAGGCCAGCTCCTGCAATCCCGGCGTGGTCAAAACTCCTCTAGAATTTGGTACTGATAACCATTGGTTTTGGCATCATAGAATCACAGAATGGTTTGGTTGGAAGGGACCTTAAAGCCCACCCAGTTCCAACCCCCTGCCCTGGGCAGGCACACCTCCCACCAGCCCAGGTTGCTCACAGCCCCATCCAACCTGGCCTTGGACACTTGGTAAAGATTGCAGAGTTTGATTTATAGAGCTTCATCAGATGTGAACGTGAGCAGTAGGTTTCTTGAAATCACTTGAAAAGATTTAAAGTTATTTTATCATTGAATCGGTATTACTTTAGACTTGGTCATGAATTATATAAAGGTTTGTCTAAAAGTATTAGAGCTATTTGAGCAGTGTAAAAAATACCTAACTATTGTCCTTAGGCAAAAATATATCTGAAACTTTCAAAAGGAACTGAGAGATGCATAATCCACCTTATTAGGCTACTCAGAAACCCCACGTTTCTGAGCTGCTGACGATTCAGCTGCTGCTGCGGGGCCGGCCCTTGGCCGCGGGGAGGAGAAGGAGGCACCAGGAGCAGGCTTTGGCACTCGCACCAGTCCTCAGGCGTTGTGACGGCCCAGTGGGTGTATGGGCACGTTTTAAAAAGCTGGTTTACCAAAATGGAACTGAATCTTCTGAAATAAAAATATGACATGAAATAATCTCTGGATGTCAGATTTGATATATTTCCTTATTAATGCACCTTCTCTCATCGTAGTAACTTTACGCCACCTTTGGCGTATCAACTAGGGCACATAAAATTGTTCCAATCACTCTTTTTTTTAGAAATAAAACTCAAGTCTCATAGATAGCCTTCAGCGGCACTGGGATTTACTTGTCTTCGCAGGCAGTCGCAAGCCTGTGACGTTTTCCCAGTGAGTTGATGAATGCTGGGTCTGGCCCCAACACGGACAGGGTGAATTAGGCTCCTATGCCCAATGGCCTCGGTTTCCTTCCTTAAATTACCATGGTGCTTTCCACACCGTATATAAATACCATCACAAATCAAGTCCCTGTCCCTAATGTCTTCTTTTTACATGGCACCAAGACAAAGAGTTCCTAAGACTATTTTTTTCCAGTGAGAAAATTAACAGCAGAGAACTGCTGTTAAAGTTTAAGATAAAAAGAAGGCAATTGTAAAAGGCTGATCCTATCTATTCGGTAAATGTAAAGGGTCCTTCAACTCATCAGCTTTGCAGCCCGCTGTCAGTATCAGCAATTCAAATGTGGGATGTACTGGCTTTGTCAAAAAGTTGGTACTTAATTTGGTGCTTGGTCTGGGTTAGTTCCTAGGTAGTTCAAATCCAGAGTACTAAGTGTATAAAAGATGCAGATTTCAGTTGATGAATTCTCTGGCAGCTGTTAAATATTGAGGAAAACCAAGAAGTTATAATAATAATTTTGGATTCC